TTTTCTTCTGTGGCTAACATTTTCTGGTAATAGCTATCTAGGAAAGTTTTCTGAGTTCAGACTGGAACTTTCCCCTTTCTCCTTCCCCAGCTAGGTACCTATTTCAACCACCATTTTTAAGCTTCTCCTAAGCATAAATTCATACACATGAAAAAATAAAACCAGACTTTTTTCCTTATGATGGGACAAGTCATCTTTGTCCAGATTTTCATTATGATCTTTTCTCATATGAACCAGAAATGAAATCACATGGCTTTTCCATGTTATTCAAGCCTTTTGTGTGTAATGCTATATTGGGTCTGGCTAGGATGGAGTTAGTTTTCCCCATAGCAAACGTCACAGTGCTGTGCTTTGTACTGGTAGCCAGAAAGGTGTTGATAACACACCAGTGTTTTGGCTACCACTGAGCAGTGTTCACACAGCATCAAGGCTGTGCCTCCAACATTTCCCCACCTCACCAGAAGGCTGGGGTTGGGCAAGATCTTGGGAGGGGACATGGCCAGGACAGCTGACCCAAACTGACCAAAGGGATATTCCACACCATATGACATCCACTCAGCAATAAAAGCTAAGAGAAAGGAGGAGGAACCGCTATGTGTACTGAAGCCCTGCTTCCAAGGAAGTGGCTGGACATTGCCCGCTGATGGGAATTAGAGAATAAATCTTCTGTTTTCCTCTTGCTTCCATACGCAGCCTTTGCTTTTGGTTTTATTAAACTGCCTTTATATCTTGACCCACTAGGTTTGGGGTTTTTTCCATCTTATTTTCTCCCCACTCCATCCTGCTGAGGAGGGGAATGATAGAGCGGCTTGGTGGCACCTGGCGGCCAGTCAAGGTCAACCCACCTCAAATGCACAGAACCACTAAGTAATTTTACCTTTAAGTCATAGCTAGAGAGTTTTCTAGCACAAAGTTGCATGAAAACACAAATAATTTGAAATGCAAGAGTTATTTCCCATTTAAAGGTGCTCTTGCAGCTCAAGGGAAGCCAACTAATGATTAGAAAAGTCATCACTAATATTTGCCTATTATAACCTTGCCCAAAGATTGTTTGTGTAGCCTGCCTAGAGAAAACTGTGGCATCCCTGGGGCATGCTAGTCTCTGAACAATGACACTGTTGATGTCATTCACTGGCACCTTCCTCGTGGCATCACTGGAGGTTGTATAATCCTCTTGCATCATACTCTTTTCAGGATTCAGGTCTTAATTAACACTTTGAGTCATATTAGCCCCAGTGGTAAAACCCTCTGTGCAATCATTAGCAACACTTCCATTCAACTCCACTCCTGATTTCAGAGAAAATGCGACCCAGCAGATTTAAGAAGACTTAAATTTCAGATAAATAATTCAGCTTCACTACATAAAGTTTACAAAATGCCAGCATAAAGATAGTCCTTGAAAAAAAAAAAAAAAAGAAAGATAAATACATATGGAAGGTGAAGAAATTCTCTTAGCAGAAAGTAATAGCTCAGATGCAGGAGATAAGAAGTGAGTGAGTGTCTCCTGTGTATAAAAATAATCAAGAGGAAGGTTTAAAATCAGAAGTCATTGAAAGCTCTGATATAAATCCGGGATAACTACAAATAGAAAAGCCAGTAGAAATATCTGAGCTGCTAGGAGCTCTTAAGGTCAGGTGCTAGCACAAGAGAAACCAACATGAAATGATCCAAAATTAATAACCATGTAGAATATGAGTCAGCAAAGAGATCTGACTAGGACTGAGATTAATAAAAGGGTATTTTTCCCCTAAAGTAATGCTTTTTAGGCCTTTTCCTCTTTTCTTTTTTTAGTCAGACTAAGCCCCTGGGTACATAAATATACATCAGAAATACATTTTTTAAAGAAACAACAACAGAATTCCCAAGAACAGCTAACCTTGATAATGGCTGAGAAAAATGTCTGAATCAGAAATCAGAAGCTAAATCAAATTATTAAAATAATATTTAAAAGTTTAATCAATTTAATAACAAATATTTAAAAGCTTAAGTCAATTTTACTAATTTGAAAGGTTATATTCATTTTAGAATGCATTGGCTTTGGCTGTGTCTGGCATTTGATAGAAAAGGAAAGTAAGTTTTCTCAGGAAGCTTCTATGACCAACTACCCCTAGAAAGCTGTTCTGAAGAAAGTGGGTTTGACAAATTTTTATTTTTAAAATGTACGCAGCCTTTTCTTTTTAAAGTAAAAAGAAAAAAAGGAAAAAAACCAAACCAACATATATAGAGAGAAATTAAATACCACTTGCTTAAAAAAAGCACAGTAGGTTACTAAATATATCTATATATGTCTTTATATATATGTATAAAATTAGGATTTATATAAAATTAGGACATAAAAAAGTACATAAAGTTCACAGAAAGTTTCAGCAAGGCAAACATCTGAAACCTGACAACCTCTGTAAGTCAGCTCCATCCTTCCTGAACTGGACTAGAGGAATGTTTCAATAGGTCATTTCAGTCACTTTGCTGCAAAAAGGACCTTATGTATGTTTTGTAATCACATAATTGATATTTGTAAATTCTGGTGATTCCCAGGCAATTAAAAAAAAGTTAATTTAAAAAAAAAAATTAGAGATGTTCCAACACTGAAGAGAAGCATCATTGATCAGTATTTAAAGGATGGCAAATCTAATTCAGTTGCGTGAGGTGTGTGGGGGGAGCCAAGTTATTTCCACCTGTTTGGGGATGAATTTCACTCTGCATGAAGTGGCAAGATTGATAAATAAGTCCTGCAGGAGTCTTGGTGACACGCATCCTGAAATGATGGCATGCAGCTAAAAATAATAAGTACTGTACATTCGTTGCAGCACTGGCAGCAATGGCAACCCCAAGCATTAAAGACATCGTGAGTCTCATCCTCCAAAATAATAGCATTGGTTTTAAACTCAGAAGTCCTTAGCCACTAATACCTCTGGAGGATTTTTTTTTTTTTTTTTTTTTTTTGCCTTCCAGATGCATTGACTTGATAATTTAAAATTCTCTCTGAAGTTCTGAAGACTACAAGACTTCTTTAAAAAAAAAAAATAAAAATCATCGGGACTGAAGGAACATCCTTCCCCTAATTTAACCTTCTTTTACATCAGGGAACAGAATCATATCACCCTTTTCAAAAAGTGACCATGGGCTTGCCTAAAATGAGGTGGGTACCCTTCTTCTTCCACATTCACAGAACTGTTCTGGAATCTTTTCTAAAGTAAGCATGAGATACTTATTTAATTTTCTTTAAGCTTTAAGATCAAACCACCACAGGCACACACAAACCCCTATATTAATCTTGAGTCTCAAGAAAATACAAAATTTGGCTGTGGTAACTTAAAAACATCAGATTTATATGGGTTGATGGGAAAATGGTGGAAAAACTGGTGTGTTCACAAAGGCCTGCAGATGACTTGTAATATTTTGCAATAATAATACAAAGTCCATAGAGTGCTACATAAACATATACCCACCGAGTTAAAACAGGAAAACAAACAAAAAAAATTGTATCTATCTACTTTACACATGTTTGACCGAAGCAGAGAAGCTTTTGGCCCAGGTCACACTGATGTACTTTGCATGTTAGGGAAGCTAGGGAAACTGGAAGAGTGAAATCCTGCTAAGAACAAAAGGCAGGAAAATGGGTACCTCCTGTGGTACCTACACACGGACAACGGACAAAGCAAAATCTCATCGCCTACAAGAAGGCTAGTCCTCAGGATAGCGTGCAGCAGCAGTTTCATTCTCCAGCTGATTCTTCAGCTGCATGAAACTGTACTGATAAAAGGACTGCTTGGGTGGGACTCATCTCCTCCAGCTTTACACACCTACAGTACAGACATTGAGGCTCCTCTGATAAAGAGAGGAGTAGTTCTGGGCTGTAGTTCATCCCATTTTAAAGTCTTATTCAGAACATGTCAGGTCAGTCCTGACTGAGAAGTGCCTGTTTTATTCCACTGAACAAAAAGGGAGCTTAGGACGACCAGCTGAGTAGATGTCTACCGTTAGGTGAATTAATACGTTTTCCTTCTCTCTTTTTCCTTAAATGACACGTCCGAACTCATCTGCAAGTCTATGTGGATATGTAATTGCTCAGGGAATCCCAGTCTGCTGTTCCATCCGTTAAACCTATTTCTAATGGCTCTAATCTGTAAAAAGCATGTTTATGAATTTATCCGGATCCCCCGTGCATGTTTGGTCAGTACCTTCTGCAAAGCGCTCTAAACTCTTTTACAAGTCAGAGTGATGTGAGTAGGAATCATAAAAAGCAATTACCCAGGCTTGGTGTCTTATGGGATAGAAGAGAAAGGGACTGCTGGCAAAAGCACTTTAAAGAAATAGCTACTTATTTAAAGCATAGAGAATCATGATAGTGCAGCATGGTCTTCACACTAATAGTTCAGGATTAACTTTGCTGATATGACACATGATTGAAATACAGATTAAATTAGCAAGTCAGAAATAGAATAGGTATGGAAATGAATCTGATTCACACATGGCTACATTTGTTGAAGGAGAAGAATTAGTTGCTACCATCAAGAAAGGCTCAGTAACTAAAAAGATGAAGAGACCAAATATCACCAGATGTAGTTAGCAGTAATACCAAAATGAACATCATGACTTCAAAGATACAATTATTTTTAAATCACATTTAAAAAAAGCTCTGCTTGTTTCCCCAAGATCACTACTGACTGTAGACTACAGTGATCTTCAAGTCATAAACATTCATGTGCGTCACTTAGAGGAATATTTTCCAATCTATTTATAACTTGATTTGTTACTTGGCCATGGCTCCTAATCTGTCTGTCAATATTATAAGCATCTGCCCTATGCCAACAAACTAATGAGTTCATTTTCTACCATGAAGTCACGAGCTGTCTTTCTACATGTCATGTCCTGTACACATCAGGCTGACACTGCCCCTAAGTGTGTAGGCAGAAAAAATAACAATAAAAGCATGTTTCAATAACAAAAAAAGATTTTTTTAAAATGCTAAATAGAAAACCTAACCCATTAGTACTCACCACCAAGGCTTTAGACCTGTTACTCAGAAGTTTTTCAATGTCTCTGGCTGCAATTTCCACTAGCTGACGAGGGTTGTTGGCTTCTACAGTATACAAATCCTTGTTTTTCAAATAGATCTGCAAGAGGAAAAAACGGAAATAAATCAAAATGGGAACAGACATTCAAAATACGCAAGGTGACTTGACAGAACAGGTATCAAGACGTCCTCTCTTCTTACTGGAGAGCTTCAGGAAAGACTATTAATCCAAACGTGCCTTGTGAAAGGAATACTTCACCTTCCTTGTCTGAGAGGTAGAAGGTGCCACTAAAAATCATTTAATAAACCTTCAGAACTGACTGTTTCTATCGATGGACTATTCAACTGCTAAATACTCCAGGAATCTGATTTCCATAGAGTGCTGAGAGAAAAGCAAAATGGAGATCCTTTAAAATGATTGAAGTTGAAATCAAATAGTTATTGCTGAATTTAATTCTTCCTTGAATGCTGAACAACAAAGATAATGGTTGAAATAAATCATTTAAGTTATGCTAATGTAATCAGTTTAGTCCCTTATCTATTTATTCATATTATAGTGTTAGTATTCATGAGGAAAGAAGATGAAGAAAACAAATAAGAGGAAAAAAGAGAAAAGAAAAAAAAAAGGAGGGGGGGAGGGGAAAAAAGATGGGGGAACAGGGGGAAGGAACTATAATCATGTTTCTCCTCTATCATGAATAAAGGTTATCGCTGGTGAGGAGCCATTAACTGTTTCCAAAGCAGAACACGTATATAAAGGAGATAATTTGATTTGTTAGACAAAGCCACTACAATTAAATGCACGCGACCACAATAGGTAAAGAAGTAAAGTGGCAGCAAATCCATTTGCCTATTGCTGTCCTACTAGAAGTGGTTAAAGAAAGAATACGTTATTTGGGGGGAAAAAGAAATTTAAAACCTGGATACCTTATGGCTAGATGGGCAAATGGGGAAAACTAATTTATGCAACCAACAGATGGCCTGAGTTTACCCAAGTACTCTGCCTCTCCGCAACACTGCCTGGTGGGGGTTGTGCTGTCTCCTGGGGAGTAATTCCAGGCACAGGCAGGGAAGGGGAGACTGAGTCTACCAGCCCCGCCAGGTTTCTCGGGTTAAAGCTATGGAGACCTTAAAGAGACTCACCAAAATACATCTCTGATGCTTGTATTGGGTATTTATCACAAATAAATTTCTGACAGCTACAGTTATAGCTGCAAATTTTTATCAGGAGTCTCATAAGCTGTCAGAGGTTTTCATCAGTTCTGAATTTCACACCGAATTTGTTGGGTTTGGGGCTTTTTTCCTTTGGAAGTACAGTCTTTCCTTTCCACCAGTAACTCAGTAACTGGAATGTGCTTTAATTCTCCACATAGTTAGCAATTATTTTTAAAAATCAGTGCATCATGAGCAGAAAACCACTACAAAAGACGATAGTTTCTAACGAACTCAGATTATAGTTTGGATATTTTTGAGGTGCTTCGTTTTCCAAATTGCCACACAGAAAGTTTATCTCAGGTATAACCCAAAATCTCTTTTTTTTTTTTTTTTGAGGTCAGATCTTAATAATGGAAATGATCTATAGGCCAATTATTAATAAAAAAAAAAAAGAAATTTTATCCTACAACTGATCACTACAGAATTTCTTACATTTTTTTCTGTGGAACACATAAAATTTACAGAGTCAGCAGTGGGATTTGGAGTTAAATTGACTGTAGTGGCAAGAGCCTTACAGTCCTACACACAAGGCAAGAGTAGAAATCAGTTTTATAGATCCAGATGGCCTGAATCAAGAATGGAAATTTCAGAAGAGCATCTAAATTAGAGTGACCGTCAAATCCAGCAAAACTCTCAGGTTTTCCCATCATCAGCTAATATTCACCCTGATCACAAAGAACAGACACTGGAATATGGGTGTTACCAGGTGTTTGTGTCTTATTCTTTGAAGAGAAATGTACTGCCAAATTCTTTAAACTTCATTCATGACTGTGTGAAGTACACCTGCATCAAAAGTTACTAAATTTATAGAGTGGCCACAAGATTTTGCAAATCTGCTAGAAAAAAAATGTAAGATAACTTTAACAGAAGTTTTATAATAATAATTTTTAAAGTAATTTTAAAGCATTAATTTGTTTTACTTATGGAAAGGTTTGGTTTGGTTTGGTTTGTCCAATTTTTTCCTGGCTTCTTGTTTTTTTCAGATTTGTTCATGCAATTGCTTTTCATTTGTTACTCAACATTGAAAGGAATAAGGAAACTTAAATATAATCCCTCTTCATCTGGGAGATTCAATTACTCTAAAATTTGGAGAAAGCAGTAGTTCATTGCAAAAATGCCATTTCATTGTAATTAATTTTTTCACTCAATATTATAAAAAGAACATTAAGGCCACAAGCAAAGAAAATACACAATAGGGGCACAGCAAAGTGTGCGCTCACGTAATGCAGGTGTGGAGGAGATGGATGATAAGGGTGTCTGGGGGACTGTGCTGACCAGCTATCCAAGGGCAAGCGCCGCACGGCTGATTCTTTGACATCTTGAAGCACTTAGTGAAATAGGGTTTCTAACAGGTTGTGATCTAACAGCCTCAGCAGAAGTTAAGGTGATGGAGCACTGCACCCACATGACCATGATTTTTCACCTCACCAACACAACACACATAATAGGCTGGAATGAACCTTTCAATATAGAGCAAAGTTACAGTAAGCCATACTGGTAAGGGTTCAAGAATCTGGATGGAAAATTTGCACTTTCATCCCTGTACCTAATCCATATAACAAACATATGAACCTATAAACCCCAATTTGGAAGCACTGAAATTTTTCACACACCCCATTCCTACAGGGAACCTGAATGGTTTGAAAGCTGCAGACTATCAAAGTGTGGTCTTGTGGGTACACTGATAGAAAAAAAAAAAAAGAAACATTTTCATTTTTTCTTCTCCAGCTCCAGCTATCAGAATAGTTCAGAAGCCTGAATCATTTAACAAGTAGATCACCACCAGAAGAGACAGGAGTCCTGCTTATATTTCAACTTAAAACCTTTTTAATAGGCATTGTGGGTCCTACTACTGAGAAAGCCTGACTCCAAGGCTGGCTTCACAAGCTGTTATCTGTCAGTGATTAAAACCAAAAAAAATTCAAACCAATCCCCTAGAAAAAAACTTTGAGTTTTGCACAAGATCCCACACAGTTGAGTTGAATCAGTGATTCTGTCGCCTTCTCTTGGCTTTACCCCATGTCAGGGCTCAGAGCACCTATCTCCCCTGCTTCTACTGCCAGTGGAAGATTTATCCCACAAGCTCCCAAACAAAAGGCATCAGAAATAACTTGGAACTTCACACGCTCGTTTATTTTCATGAAGTGTGAGACCTGTCTCAATGACCAAGGAACAATGTAAGAAATATTCACTCATTATTTAAGAGGTGCGTACATAATTTATTTGTCGCCTGCTCCCCTTTTCTTTAATTCAGCCATGGCACTACAGCAGTTCAGCACAACACCACATGGGGAAATGATACATGCTTCAGGATTTGGCAGCCTGTGACAAACTTTTCCTTCTCCAAGCCTCCCACCTAGCAGTCAAACACAATTAGCAGAAGCTCATCTCAAATAGCCATAAAGGGTCTTATCGGCAAAGGTGTGTTCATTTGTCTTTCAAAATGCAATTTGGCAGGCCCCATGGCTTGTTAAGAAGAGCTAATCTGAATGCATTTTATTAAATTGCTTTGACCGAGTGAATGCAAGCTTCTGTTGGGTTTTAGGTCTAAAATCATTTTTAGTACTTTAATCATGAATGTTTTGCTAAAAGCTCTCCAAATTGTCAGTAAACCCCTACCATTTCTCACAGAATAAAGCCTCATGGCATGATGAAGTAAAATTGGTAAGGTCATAGAACAAAAAACTACTTTCTCTGAAGTCAATAGCCATGCACTTTCCCATTCAGGTAAGAATGTATTAAAATTGCTTTCTAAATGCTGAATATTTATTCTGGTATAATGAACTGCAAGGTTTTAAGGGAGAGAACATGACGGGGAGAGTCACATTAGTATGAAACAAGACAAGAAGAATGGCAATAGTTAAGTGTGGTAAAGATTAGAAAAACTGCCAGCTCCTCAGCAGAACATGCCCCTCTCCATTCAGTCTTCAAGGGCAAGAGACATTTGCTTTGCTTTCCGTAAGACTTGCGAGGGAAAGTCAAACATTTCTGTACCAATTGAGAGAATTAAAGATGCTCCTTCATTGCATGGCTCTTGCTACATTGTGGCAGGCATTGCGGTCCCCGCTGGAACATTGACATTTTATTTAAATGACCCTCCTGCTTTATTACACTCAGAAAAAGTTAGAGAGTAATAAATGATCTGTGCTTTGGTTCTGTGGTCTTGGCACTGTTTACAGAGACTACCCAAATAACAAGGAATAATAATTCATGATTAATTATTCTAAACTCCAGTAGAATTCCTTTGCCTCTTCGTTAGTTTGTTTGTTTTGAAACTGTCAGTCTCCCAAGTTAAGGAACAATGGAGCCTTTTCTTCAGGCAGCGGTAACCTGGCTGAGGGCCCAAACATAGGACGTGAACACGGCAATCTTAGTTCCATCACCGAACACTTTCATGGACATAGAAGTCTCATGAGACAACATCTGCAGAAGTTCAAGCCCAGAATTTCAAAAGTTAACCAGACATGCTCTATCTTTTCCTACCTTGAAATATTCTTAGGAATAGAGAAACAAAATCACTCAACAGTTCCAGCAGTAGCTATCTATACAAGGTAAATATACTGATGTTCTTTTCAGTACTACTTTCAAGACAACTTAGCTCAGCTAGGCCGATGGACACCCCTGTCAACAATCAGTACAATCAGTCTAGACCAGTTGGAGAGTATCATGATGCCTGAAGATACTACCAAGCTTGGGACCCCAGGTCAACCAAAACTGTGTTGGGTCTTGGTCCATCTTTTCTGAAAGTGACTACACCAAAATACTGAGAGTGCTTGTGAAATCTGAAGCTAGGTTTTAGACACTTATATACTAAAGTGATTAACTTATCATATAAATAAATAAATAAATAAATCTCAGAACAGCAAAACTGAAATAAAGGTCTTG